TAGATCACGTAACCCAGTTAGGTGTCTCCCGTTTAAAAGAGATACGGTTGGAAATATGCAGATATTTCCATATCTAAAACTGTATCTGTTTTGAATTGTCCACGTTTTTTGGACAGCCCGCGGATGCATAGGTGGGGTTAGTTTCCATGGTCTGCTCCAATCCGAGATAGAGTTTTGACATCATCTCCCTGTTGTTCTCCGGATACACACTCTCCTGGCAGGACGTGTATTTGGAGAACAGCGAGGAGGTACTGCTGAAATTCTGTCTCGGATAGGAGTAGAGCATGGAAACTAACCTCATCTACGGATCCTCACGTGGGATTAGGACCTATCCTCACCTATTAGATAGTAGGAATGTCGTGTAGATGCAATTGATGTTTATATTACTCGCTGCTATATATGTTAGAGGATGGAGGACCGTGAGTGGATGTACACGGGCCGTGTAAGTCCGGGTCAGGTCACCAATGAATGGATTGACAAGACCGATGCTTTCTTGGAACGGGCATTTGGCGTGGCTGCTAAAGGAGCGAGTAAAATTTGCTGTCCCTGCAGCAAATGTGCAAACAGGAAAAGACAAACGAAGAAGGTCATGGGGGAACATCTTTGGAAGAATGGATTTACGACAGACTATACCCGGTGGGTCTACCATGGTGAAGCCGATCGTATGAGAGAGGAGGTGGTGAGACCACGCGTCGAGGATTATGATGCTGATGCCAGGGTAGCAGACATGTTAAATGACTATCACGAGGCACAGTTCGCTGAAGGACGTACGGAGGAGGAGCCAGAGGCAACCGCAAAGGCATTCTACGACATGTTTGCCACGGCACAGAAACCCCTTCACGGCCAGACAAAGGTTTCTCAACTGGATGCCATTAGACGCATAATGGCGTTAAAGTCCTAGTATAGCCTGAGTCAAGACGCCTTCGATGGTATGTTGACAGTTATTGGCAGCCTGCTTCCGGAGGGTCGCCTTCTGCCAAAGAGCATGCACGAGTCACAGAAACTCATTCGTGCACTTAAGATGCCATATGAGCAGATACATGCTTGCCCAAAGGGGTGCGTCCTATGTGTTTGATCCTGAAGTAATGAGACGGACATATTCTAATATTGGGCTAGTCGAAATTCGACAGGATTCCATCTTACCAGGAGATGATGTCTATATTGTGGCCCAACAGGCCACGCAAGTTTATTATCTCCCATATGCGTGTCAAACCAAAAGGCATCTTAAGGGTTGGGATATTGTGCATAGGGTATCACCACACGGTAAAGTGCCTATCCCAAACGATGAAGATTACAACTTAGACCCAAATATATATGACGGAGAGTTCTTTCAAGAAGAGGGACTAGAAGGGAGGTTTGAGATAGACTTAACCAAAGCGATCGGAATGGAAGTAGACAATGAAACGGTTATTGAAGAGGACGCTGGAGATGAGGTGCAAAATGTGAAGGACTTACAAATGCTTGAGCGATTACATTTAGACAATGACAATGGCAACATTGCTCATTCGGATAGTGTTGATTATTTCTACATGATTGATAGTGATGATGAGACTTATGATCCAGCTAATCCCGATCATGAAGATTATTTCTAATACATGTAATAATATGTTATTTTGTAATTATGTTTTGTTTATTTTGCATCTCTTTCTAAGTACTTCTTGTTTATCTGTGCATATTGGTTTACTCTTTTTAATTGCAGGTGATTGAACAAAGATGGTGGGCGGTGGGATGAGGAAGCTAGCATCCTTGTACCGAAGGACAATGACCACTGCACCGGGGGAGAGTAGGAGGAGGAGCAGCCGCAGGAGGGAGCCATCGCCTGCCGCCCCGTCACGTGAGGAGGAGGAGGAGCAGGTGCCCCAAGAGGACGCCGAGGAGGCGCAGCAGGACGAGGAGGAGGAGGCGACAATAGGGGGTTCCGCTTCCTCTAGTTCGTCGAGCGTCTGCTTGCGAGGTCCTGTGAGCCTCCCTCAGCGACCAATACCTCATGAGAGACGCCCGCTGATTCAACCTGAGGGGGAAAAGTAAGTAACTTTAGATGTTATCACTACTTTATATGATATGTTGAAAATCAAAATAGAAACTAATAATTTTTCTTAATCACTTGGGCAGGAACTGGACGATTGTGGCGAGAGGAGGTGCTCACACATGCCAAGTCAATGGCATCTTCGGTCTTCTATGCAAGGAGCACTTCCCTGGCCTGGTTGAGTACGCCAGAGTGATGGGGCCGGCCTACTCGTTTGACCACTACGTCACCGCCCCCGATGCTACAGATCGGGCCCGCAGGGTATTCAACAACAAGGCAGAGCAGGTGAAGCAAGAGCTATGGGTAAGTCTTCCTCGCACTATATTGCTCAATACATCGCATTCATTGGACATTCTTGAAATAATGAATGGATACATCATGTTTGTATGCAGGATTTCTTTAGATGCCAGGACGGACATGAGGCCAGGGCGGATGTAGTGGCTACCAAATGCTGCAAAAAACTCATCATGGACATGCATTACGAGGCACGCATCTAGGTCATCGTAACTTACCACGGGACCGTCCTTGGAACGAAGGTCACCAAAAGGGATGCAAGAACCATGACGCTGACCCGAGACCAGTACCTGCAGGTAAATACAGAATATTAATACTGATTCCTTTTGAGATTAAGTAGGCTTAATTTCATCTTCTGATATGTCATGTACTTGATGGCCTGTAGATGATTCCTTAGTGGTGCGTTGCGCATCCCTAGTGCTGGGAACAGATGGTGGACAAGTGGTGCTCAATCTAGTGGGAGGAGACGCACAACTTGTGCCGAGGGTGGTGTTTGATGATGCCAGGTGTAGCACACCATCAAGGCAGCCACAGCCTCAGCGGATACGCAGAAACATGGGTACGCGAATTCATTTATTTATTCTAACGCTCAATTCTGCATGATTTCTAATCATCTTGCTATTTTTCTCACAGTCGGCGTCACATGGTGGCCAGCCTTGCTCCATCTTCAAGGCATTTGCTATGGCCCACAAGGGCAAGGCGACGTTCGACGTTGACTACAACCCGGAGGACGGGCCCGAGGCGTACAACAATGCGACCGTCTAGAACCGCCTCAGTTAGTACACATCGATGGCAAGGGAGGTCCATGGGCCAGAGTACGATCCGAGCACCGAGCACCTTGATGGAGAAGTCGTCATGAGGGTGGGAGGAGGCAAGAAGCATGGGCGGTACTGGATTGGCGATGGCGCAATCGACTCGGCCGCTACTCCCAGTCTCTCCCAGATTCGAGCAAGCAGCACGAGCAGGAGCCCGGCCATACGACCTCGGTAGGACACTTCGCACCACCGGGTGGAGGCACTCGAGGTTATTCCTGGTTTATTCGTTGTTCATTAGGTTTTTCATACCTTTCCTTTGCATTATTGTAACATTGGGGTGAATATATTGTAGGCCCAGCTGGAACAAGAGAGGAGGATACGGGAGCAGATGCAGGCGAAGATGGAGAGGGTGGAGGCCGAGCGGGAGGCCGAGTAGCGGAGGATGGCGGAGATTCTTCAGTACATGCAAAGTCTTGGCGCCGCTAGGGGTGTAGTTTCGCCACCTTCGCTATTCACTCCACCTCCACCTCCTCACTATTCTACTCTTGTGAGTATAAATGTTTTAGTTTGTATGTTCATGCTTACGGTCAAACCTAGTGGAGTATGAAAGTTTTATTCATGTATGGGATATATTTATCTTGTCTCACACATGCAATCTCTTCTCCTTTGTGCAGAATCAATCGGCGGCATTGAACGATCCTCATGCTTCAGCGAATCCTTCACCAAATTAGTCTCATTGGCCATCTTGGTGATGATACTTGTGGTTGTTAATGGTACTTCTATTTGTAATTGTGGTTGTAGATGATGGAGCACTTGGATTATTTGTGAACTTATTTGTGATATATTGTGAGACATGTGACGTTTGTGATATATATGTGGTGTTGGTGATATATATGTGATGTTGATGATATATATGTGATGTTGGTGATGTTTGTTATATATATCTTCTGTTTGTTTGGATGGGATGTAAAAAACAAATAAAAAAGACTATTTTCAGTAACTTTGCCGAGTGCAATGGCAATGACACTCGACAAAGTGACTACCTGGGAACATGCTTTGACGAGTGCAAAGGCCATTGCACTCGACAAACATCACAGATTTGCTGAGTGCCACGGGCCAAGCACTCGGCAAAGGTCGCCTGTTTGCCGAGTGTCTTGCTGGTGGCACTCAGCACAGTGGCCACCTTTGCTGAGTGTCCTGAGCCAACGAAGCGGCGACCTTTGCCAAGTGCTTGATCTTGACACTCGGCAAAGCCGTAGTCACAGTGTCAGATTAAAACTCGGCAAAAAAGTCTTTACTGATAAACTGTTTACTGAGCACCCGGCAAAGGCTTTGCCGAGTGTATATCGGCATTTGCCGAGTGTATATCGGCCAGGGCACTCGACAAAGAAGGTGAATCCGGTAGTGACAAATGATTTTAAAAAATTGTAAATCGGGCCAAAAAAATAGCAATTTTTTTTTATCTAGGGAGGCCCCCACCAGTCAGCCACCAGCCTGCTCCGTCGAATTCACGGCATGTTTCACGCACTTCGCGGCCAACAAGATTCAAACCTCCCCCTCGCTATATACTCCTCTAACAAACGGAGGGACAGGTACCAGGTCAAAGCCGCCCTCGATCGTACAGCCAACATCCTCGTGCCAGGTGTCGCGGCCGGCCGGCCGTCTTCCATTCCCAGCTAGCTCGAGGAACACGACAAGATCCATTCATGGCGACATATGCACAAGGAACCATTCCTTGTCCATATCTCATTTCCCGTTAATCCCAACATATGAATTCCTTGTCCATATCTCATTTCCCGTTAATCCCAACATATGCCCTGTTGATAAAACGGAACCTAGCCAGTTTGCAGGGAAACGAGCTTATTAGCTTGTAGCTATACCCCAGGTGAGGTGACAACATAGTGAAGTTCATTTCGCAGCAAACAATGGCGTCCCGAGCTGTCTTGGTGCCGTCCGCCGTCCTGATCCTCCGGCTCCTCGCCCTCGGCCTCCTCGCCGCCTCGCTCGCTCTCATCGCCGCCGACAGGCTCAATGTCGACAGCGACCCGCCGGAGAAGTACACCTTCAGGGACGTCTACGCCTACAGGTACGTCCTGGCCGTCGCCGTCGTCGGGTGCGCTTACACGCTGCTGCAGCTCCCGTTGGCCGCCGTCAGCATCGCCAGTGGGAAGCGGTCCATTGGCGGCACCGTGGCCGTGGCGCTGGTCCTCGTCCTCGCCGACGTGGTCTTCGCCCTGCTGCTCGCGACGGGGGCCGCGGCCGGGTTCGGCTTCACCTACGACGTGAAGCGCTACCTGTACGGGCTTTTCGACGAAACCGAGACGCTGGAGGACGACAAGCTGCACCGGGACATGGACAGGTTCTTCGAGCTGGCCTACGCCTCTGCGGGGCTCATGCTGTCCGCCGCCGCGTGCATGGCGCTCGTCATCATGCTCTCCGTCTACTCGCTCGCCAAGTGACAATGGCGAGATGCATGGAGAGATTTTCGAGGAATATTAATTCGTTTTGATGAAGTATATTATATGGCGAGCAATTGACTGATGTTATTTAACCGGCCGGTTTGATGATGTAATCTGTCTTTCTTTGTAATAAATAAGCTTTCTTTATTTACACACATAACAAGACAGCTATATATGTTATATGATGAAATTTTGACATTTTTAACCACTTCAACGAACAACTAACTTTGTCCCTTTGATGGTGGCCATTCAAAATTTCAGCTTCATTTGGCCCCTACACTATATAAAAGGTTCAAATCACCGCATGATTATATTGGTCATTTTCCCCTTGCATAATTTGTGTTTTCCTTTTTCCCTTGCATAATTTGTATTTCAGGTTCAAATATTGTATAGCGATAATTGATATCTGTACTATACTTTACCGTTATATTTTGCATCTTTTTGCAATTACCTTAATTGCCTCCTCTGTATTTGAAACATTAATTTAAATGGAGGACATATATGAGGCAGAAAATAATACAATCAAAGTATTTTTCTAATGGAGCACATGATGTGATATACACTCACTACGGGAGAGCCTAGATTTGCCGAGTGTCGCCGGCTTTGCCGAGTGCTAAATGTCGGGCACTCAGCAAAGAGCTCTTTGCCGAGTGACAGGCGCTCGGCGAAGACCGGCACTCGGCGAAGACCGGCGCTCGGCAAAGAGCCTCTTTGCCGAGTGGGCACTCGGCAAAGGATGACCCTCGGCAAAGAGCTGACGGGGGTACTTGCCGTCAGCTTTCGCCGAGTACCCCCCGTTAGGCACTCGGCAAAGAGTCTTTGCCGAGTGTCAGAGTTGGGCACTCGGCAAAAGTTTTTTTTTTGTCTCCAAACTTTTTCTTCAACCCTTACACATTAAGTTGAAGTACATCCTCAAATTTGGCACATTTCTCGATCTTTTTGTTATATATCCTTAATTTATTTCATTTAATTGCAATTTTCTGGGAAATGTAAGTTTGAACTGCAGGTGGAACGAATCATGGAATTCGACGAGTGGAAAAATGATATTCGCGTTACTTATTGTATTTTGAGGCCGTTTCCAGGAGCACGCCTGAAGTTTCAAACATCTCACGCACGAAACATAGCGACAAAATTGCGGGTGAAGTGTTTTTTAATTATATAAAATGCAAACGAAGTTCGAAAATCATGAAACTTGGTGACATGAGGCTATGGTAAAAATTTGAGAATATTTCGCGCACATTGTCACGTAGGATGGTTAGAAACTTAGACATCTCACGTGGGGGCGGACTCGTAGTTTGCACACGTGAGATGTCTAGGTTTATAACCATCCTACGTGAGAACGTGCGCGAAATGTTCTCAAATTTTGTCTAACCATCCTACGTGACAACGTCCGCGTCCCCGCCCTGCGCCCCCAGCACCGCCGCCCGCGCCCGCACCCAGCCCCGCCGCCCTGCCGCCCGCTGCTGCGGGCCCGCGCCGCGCCGGCGGCCACCGACCCCGCCGCTCCGTCCTGCCCGCCCCACCCGCGTGCCCGTATCTCCTCCCCTCCCCTCCCCTCCGCGCCCCACCCGCGCCCCCGCCGGCGCCGCTGAACGCCGGCGGCCCACTGCCGCCGGAGAAGGAGAGGGAGGGCCGCCTTCACCTCCCCTCCCCGTGGGGGCCACGCCCAGCCCCCCCCCCCTCGCCGTCGATTCTTGGAGGGGAGGAGGCAGAGGTGAAGTAGGAGGAAGGAGAAGAGGAGAAGGAGGAAGGGGAAGAGAAGGAGAAGAAGAGGAAAAGAAGAGAAGAAGGGGAAGAAGGAGAGGATGAAGGAGGAAGAAGGAGGAAGGGGAAGAGAAGGAGAAGGAGGAGGAAGGAGGAGGAGTTCTCGGCGTCTTCTTCTGCGCATGCATGTCCCGCCACCGCCCAAGGTATATGCACTGTCCCTTTGTGAATGTCGGCCTTCGTGCCGTGAATGTCGGCCTTCGTGCCGTTGTGAATGTCGTGAATGTCGGCCTTCGTGCCCTTGTGAATGTCAGCCTTCGTGCTGTTATTTTTTGCAGGTTTTGGAAACCTCCCTGTACAGGGGAGGTTCTACCGAAATTTTCAACTTATAGTGTTGTGTTTATTATACGTCATATGCTTGCAAGACTAGACTGAATCTTAGTGGTTGGTTTGTTGTGCACAAGGTCTCGCCACACGACCGACTACCTGTCCCAAACGATGAAGATTACAACTTCAACCCAAGCACGTATGACGGAGAGTTCTATCAAGAAGATGGGCTACAAGGGAGGTTTGAGATAGACTTAACCGGCGAGATAGGAATGGATGTAGACAATGTAATGGTTGATGATGATGACGATGGAGATGAAGTGCAAAATGCAAAGGACTTACAAATGATTGAGCGATTACATGTAGGCAATGACAATGAAGACAACATTCCTCCATCGGATAGTGTTGATTATTTCGACATGGTTGATAGTGATGATGAGACTTATGATCCAGCTAATCCCGATCATGAAGATTATTTGTAACATACATGTAATACTTTGTAATTTTGTAATTTTGTTTTCTTTTGTTTATTTTGCATCTATTTCTAATTACTTCTTTCTTCTTTTTAATTGCAGGTGACTCAACAAAAATGCCAGGCGGCCGGCAGAGGAACCTGAGCTCATTCTACCATGGAGCCTCCGGTGTAGGAGCCTCCAGCGGAGGGGGCAAGGAGGAGCAGGGGACGTCTTCGACGAGGCGGAGGAGCATGAGGACCACAACCAGGAGGAACAGGAGGACCACGCCCGCGGTCCAACAGCAGCAGCAGCAGCAGCAGGAGGAGGAGGAGCAGGTGTAGCAGGAGGCGGGCGAGGAGGAGGAGATGCCAGTCCAGGAGGAGGCGGACGAGGATGAGGACGAGGACGGGGGCAGGACGGGAGCTACCGCTTCCTCTAGTTCACCAGGTGTCTACTTGCGAGGACCCTCCACCCTCCCTGACCGACCGCATACTCATCTACGCCCAGTGATTCGCCCAGAGGGGCAAAGGTTAGTGCCTTTGCATGTTATCACTTTTACTTCATATGCTATGTTCGATATCGAAATAGAGACTAATATGTTTTCTTAATCACTTCTGTAGGGGGTGGGAGATTGTGTCGGGGAACACTGCCTCCTGCCATGTCAATGGCATCCTAGGTCTCCTGTGCAGGACCCACATCCCTGGCATGGTCATGCATGCCGGGAACCTCGAGCCCGCCTTCATGTTTGCCCACTACGAGTCCGCCCCCCACGTGGAAGCAGGCACTGTGGCTGCGCTCGTCATTCGGGAGTTCTGGGTAAGTCTTCCTCGCACTACATGGTTCAATACAACGCATTCATTGGACTCTACTTGAAATAACTAAGGCATACATCGTGTCTATATATGCAGGAGTACTTCAAACTTGACGACGGATTCAAGGGCACAGCGGAGGCAGTGGCTAAGCGAGCTTGCAGGAAACGCGTCGTCAACATCCATCATGAGGTGCGACTCCAGGCCATCATAGATTACTATGGGATGAAGCTCGGATAGAAGGTCACCAAGAAGGACATCCGAGAACAAGACTTGACGCTGACCAAACCCCAGTTCCTTGAGGTAGCTAAAAAACATTAAAATTGGTTCCTTTTGAGATTAAGTACGAATCACTTGTTTTTCTAATATGTCAACTACTTGATGACGTGTAGGTGATTCCTTGGTGGTGCAACGGGTGCCCCGTGGCTTGGGCGAAGATGGTGGACAGGTGGTTAAGCGCGGAGTGGGCCACTCAGCACGCGGCTGCCCGGCAGCGGCGTTTGTTCATGCCAGGTGTATCACACCATCAAGGCAACCGCAACCTCTCCGGATACGCCCGAGCATGGGTACGTGGTCATGTTTCTATTCTTCTTGCTTTCGTTGAACTTGGCAAATAATTCTAATCATCTTGTTTTCGTTCTTGCAGTCGGCGGCACATCAAGGCCAAGAGTGCTCCAACTTCGCCACATTTGCCATGGCACACAAGGGCAAGGCGTCATCCGACGTCTCCTTCAACCCGGATGACCCGGCCGAGGCGTACACAAACTCGAGCGCCTACGAGAAAATCACGGAGTACACGGCGGCGGCAAGGTCGATCCATGGGCCGGAGTACGATCCACGGATCGACAATATTGATGCAAACATCGTCATGAGGATTAGACAAGGCAAGAAGCATGGCCGCTACTAGATTGGCGACAGCGTGATCGACACGGCCTCTACTCCCACTCTCTCCCAGATCCGAGCACAGAGCACGACCGCCTCCTCACTCCCGGCGATACGCTCATGGCCAAGCATTTCACAGCACCGGGTCGACACACTCATTGGCGACAGCGTGATCGACACGGCCTCTACTCCCACTCTCTCCCAGATCCGAGCACAGAGCACGACCGCCTCCTCACTCCCGGCGATACGCTCATGGCCAAGCATTTCACAGCACCGGGTCGACACACTCTAGGTTATTCATGTTTTACTCATCGTACATTGATCTTTACACAACTCTATTTCCTTTGCATTATTGTAACATTAGCTTTGCAACAATTTGTAGGCCCAGGTGGAAGAAGCAAACAGGAGGGCCCAGGAGCTGGAGCTGGGGTTGGCGGCCGCGTGGGCCGCGCAGGAGGCCGACAAACTCACCCAGGAGAAAAGGTTGGCGGACATTATTGCCTGGATGCAAACTACGACGGGTGCTGCTATGCCTCCTGGGTTAATGGGTCCACCTCAGCCTCCTCACTCCGCTACTCCAGTGAGTAATGTCACACATGCAAGGAATTGCTACAATCGCTATTCAACTAATCTTGTCTCATGCAATCTCTTCTCCTGTGTGCAGCCTCAGTCGGCGGGTTCGAACAACCCAGCTCTGGGCACTCCGAACGAGCAGATGTTTCCTTCCCCATCGTCAGCAGGATGGCCACATCAAGGGCCGCTTCAGTGAGTAGCGCTTATAGTTTCATGTCTTGTTCTCTTTGCAATGGATTTCTGTCCGAGA